TGGCAGATGGACACGCTTAAAGCTCTGACTTGGGCAGGGCAAAGGTAATATATGTAACCTAAATTTATACCCCCTTAATATGGTGAAATAAAAATTCTAATAATAATAAAAAAAGGAAACAGGTTATAGAATTGAAATCAATATGTCATGTAACTTCATTAAGAGCAAATTAATACTTGAAGGAAACATTGTTGTTTTCTCCCCAAACTTTTCTTTTTAATTGCAGCCAATTTGATCACATACAAAATTTCTTCATAAATATTCTTTTATGAACCTTATCATAACTTTCATAGAGCGTCGACAACATATTTGGACTTTTTGTTTTGTCCTAAATTTCCCTTTTCTTAAACAACCACTCACTTATTTTAGGACAAAATTTTATTTTATTTATTATTTTTTTTTTTTGTATATATACTTTTAGTTGGCCAATTAATTTCTTATTTTTTTTTTTAGTAGAGACGGGGTCTCGCTCAGGCTGGTTTCGAACTCCCGACCTCGAGCAATCCGCCCGCCTCAGCCTCCCAGAGTGCTAGGATTACAGGCGTGAGCCACCGCGCCCGGCCAGGACAAAATTTTATAATAAAAGTTATTTTTTATACAAAATTACTTATTTTTCTGTTTAATCTTTCTTACTAGAAATATATTTGTATATCTATAACTTTTCTCATGTCTCTCTCTCTCTCACACATACTTTACTGGTTCCTTTCTATCTTGTTTTTATTTTTCTTTAAATCTCTCTCTCTCTATTTTTTGGAAACAAGGTCTCACTCTGTTGCCCAGGCTAGAGTGCAGTAGCGTCATCATAGCTCACTGCAACCTCAAACTCTTGGGCTCAAGTGGTTCTTCTGCCTCGGCCTCCCAGGTAGCTGGGACTACAGGTATGCACCACCATGCCCGGCTAAATTTTCTATTTTCTATAGAGTCAGGGTCTCGCGCAGGCTGGTCTTAGACTCCTGAGCTCTAGCAATCCTCCCATCTCAGCCTCCCAGAGTGCTAGTATCATAGGGCCACTGTGATCGGCTGGCCTTAAATCTATATTTTGAATCAACTGTTAAATAACTTCTAAATAGACAAAATTATTTTTAATAAGAACATATTTTATGTCTCTTGTATAACTTTTCTCATTAAAGGCATGTTATTCTTTGGTATACTTTATATAGAGAATCTTATATATTGACTAAAATATAAAAATAGAATTCTTGGTCAGGTGCTATAGCTCACACCTATAATCCTAGCACTCAGGGAGGCCAACATGAAGGATCACTTGAGGTTGGGACTTGGAGACCAGCCTGATCAACAGTGAGGTCCCATCTCCACCAAAAATAGAAAAATTAGCTGGGCATGGTGGCACATGCCTGTAGTCCCAGCTACCTGGGAGGCCGAGGCAGAAGAACCACTTGAGCCCAAGAGTTTGAGGTTGCAGTGAGCTATGATGACGCTACTGCACTCTAGCTACTGCACTCTACTTACGAGGCTGAGGCAGGAGGATGGCTGGAGTCCAGGAGTTTGAGGTTGCTGTGAGCTAGGCTGACGTCACGGCACTCTAGCCCGGGCAACAGAGTGAGACTCTGTCTCAAAAAAAAAACAAAAATTTTTAGTGGAAACCTAAGAAGCACGAAATCAGGACTGTCATATATAAGTATTTTTAGATGAGAGCCATTTTGTGATTTTTGGAAAACATATTTCCTTATAACACAGTGTTTCTGTTAATTGGAAATGATCCACGTAAAGAGTATTTACTATATTATTTAACAAAACTTTAACCCTTGGCCGGGTGCGGTGGCTCACACCTGTAATCCTAGCATTCTGGGAAGCCGAGGCAGGCGGATTGCTCAAAGTCAGGAGTTTGAAACCAGCCTGAGCAAGAGCGAGACCCTGTCTCTACTATAAATAGAAAGAAATTAATTGGCCCAACTAATATATATAGAAAAAAAATTAGCCGGGCATGGTGGCGCATGCCTGTAGTCCCAGCTACTCGGGAGGCTGAGGCAGTAGGATCGCTTGAACCCAGGAGTTTGAGGTTGCTGTGAGCTAGGCTGATGCCACGGCACTCACTCTAGCCTGGGCAACAAAGTGAGACTCTGTCTCAAAGAAAAAACAACTTTAACCCTTTGCACTCGCTTCCTTTTTTCTCGATTCCTTTATTCTACTTGGGATTTAATTTTTTAAATATCCCAGATTTTACAAAGCGCGGCAGTAGAATAAAAAACTGGAGTTTCTTTTCATACAAGCTTATTTATTTGGATTTTTTAATATTTCAAATTATTGATACATTCAAAGAGTAATTTTAATCTTTATAATTTTTGCTAACTGTATCGAGTCACACTCAACATCCGAGTGCAAAGGATTAAGATTCCAAATTACATGAAAAGTTCACCTCAGTATTAATCCCATTTTAAATTTACTCTATTTATTTTTAGCAGTTTAGATTACTTATGAAAACTGAGTATTAGACAAAGCTAGTCATCATTTTAAATTATTTTCCTTGTTAACCATTTTTATAGCCTGTGGGTGAATATTAGATATTTGTCTAAATATGTACCTTAAAGTTAAATATATGGGTATTTTGCCAGTAGCTCAGAAGATTCAGCTATTTTTATTAAACCAATGATGTGAAATTAGTCTTACTTTTCAAAAATCACACAAACAATGATCATTTTTGTTTTGGCTGCATCTATAGTTTTATAAACTTTGTTTCAACCCTGATACCTTAAAACATCTAATAAAGGCAAAACATAAAAATGACCAATAAACTGAGGCAAAAATGTATGCTGACAATTTGAAGACATTTTAATATTTTTTTAGTCAATAATTTAAAAACTAGCTTTATTTATTTATTTATTTGAGACAGAGTCTCAAATAAATAAGTCGCCCAGGCTAGAGTGAGTGCCATGGCGTCAGCCTAGCTCACAGCAACCTCAAACTCCTGGGCTCAAGCAATCCTGCCTCAGCCTCCCAAGTAGCTGGGACTATAGGCGCGAGCCACCATGCCTGGCTAATTTTTTGTTTCATTTTTAGTTGACTGGCTAATTGTTTCTGTTTTTAGTAGAGATGGGGTCTCGCTCTTGCTCAGGCTGGTCTCAAACTCCTGAGCTCAAGCAGTCCTCCCACCTTGGCCTCCTAGAGTGCTAGGATTACAGGTATGAGCCACCATGCTTGGCCCACAATTAAAGTTTTTAAAAAGCCTCTTTTACTCCTTCGTTTTCTTCAGTTTCAAATGAGTTTTCAATGTTGATATTTTAGCTAGAACTGGCTGAATTGTATAGGAAACCAAGATTTCCAAGTAGCCTTGAATTAGTAATACCATAAATAGTGAATTTCATCTCAATACAAGTAGAATGTAACAGCAATTTCAAAGTAGGCAGAAAAAAAAATAGAGACAGCTTAATAGCCTGTACATTTTAACTTTACAGTGGCAGATCGACCATTTGAACTCTGAATTTTCCTTGATGTAATTTGCCCATCAATCTAAACATGTGCACAAGAATGGGCCATGGTATGTAGCTAGCTGGAGTCTTAGAAAACCTGGCATGCCTTTGAATTTTCTAATAGACAGTCCCTTTACATGCCATACACCAATTTAGATAAACACTCAATACAAAGAGAATTTCAAGGGTTTTCAAACCAAAGCCTGGAGGGCACCAAATCAAACAAATGCAAATGAATTTGTTCACACATGGGATAAGAGTCCAACAGCTATTCCTTTCTGTGACTGGATACCCTAGCAAAAACAAAAACAGAGTGGCTTATTCCAAGGAATGATGGAAAGGAGTTCCTGGTTGTACACACTAGAGTGACTTACCCTACACATTCCAAATCAAGTCTTTTGACTCACAGAGGTTTGTCAGTTCTTTGCTCCAACTGGTATAGGCCAGGGCAGTCATGCATTCCTAGGAATCCAAGGGAAGTCTGGGAAACAAATGGCCCCAGCAGCTGCTAGGGACTTGCCCAAGAATTCCCTTGAATGGGGTCAGCTGGCAGTGAGCAGCCACTCCTGTCTGGGTCTTGCAAATTTGCAACCAATTTCAAGGTTATACTACTCACTGCACGACAGCCAATAAATAAGTCAAGAGACAAGGTGTTGGGGCAGGGAAAGTAACTTTTATTTAGAGATCCAGCAAATTGAAAAACGGGTGGACTAATGTCTAAAGAACCACCTTAAGTTAGTATGAACTTTAGGCTACTTTTTATCATAAGGGAAGGGGAAGGAGGGATTGGGTTGCAAAAAGTAACCAAGGACCACAAATATCTGGGTGTCAGTGAGGGTCAGAGGAGGTTATAAAACTTCTTTGCTCTTGGTCAACTAACTTTGGAAGACGAAGGTCAGGATGTTTCTAATAATCTTTAACACAGCATTGTTACGTGTGTGAATACTTCTCTTATGTCCCTGGGAGTTAGTTTTGAAAAAGGGGTGATTGTCACCTTTCTTCTTGCCTCTGTGCAGAACTAAGCAGAAGCTTTTAACCTAGAGGCTGTTGCTGCAGGGGCCAGAGCAAAATGGAGCTAGTTGTGTGACACTTCCCTTCCACTGCTACGGCACCTCCTTGTCTTTGGGTTGGTAGATCCTTCAGAAGGATAACCCCCCAGATTGTTATGTCTCTAAAGCTTAACGTATACATCCAGGTGCTGTTTCTACCATTTGATCATAATGAACTGGGTTTGAGAGTTCTAATCAGGATACGAGGTGTGAGAGAAATTGCATTATGCTGTCCTCTCTCTTATTTCCTACTAGTGACATTTTAATTTGGGAGGAATCTGGGTAAATTGAATTCCAATAAAAACTTCTCCAAACCTTCTAAAGTAACTTGCAAGTGTTGGGGTGGAGTTTTCTGGGCTGTTGGTTTCTGAAGTAGCTTTACAGTAATTTTTATTTTTCAGAACTTCTAGAAAAGTCTAATGCCTGGAACAGAGGAGGCTAGGATTGGGGGAGGGGCTGGGAAGTCGGGGTGCTGTGTGTCCTCGCTCTCTAATGCCCTGCCTCACCTCTCTGTCTCTTTCAGAATGGCCATGGCATCTCAAGATCAATGGCTGAGTTCCAGTTCAGATAAAAACTGTAAAGTGAACTTTCGAGAGAGGCTTCTGATTATTGATTCAAAACTGGGAGGCAAGGATGTGGAGCAACTGAAGTTTCTCTGCCAGGACTTTGTCTCCCATAAGAAGTTGGAGACATCCAGGTCAGCCTTGAATATCTTTGATCTTCTCTTGGCAGCGGAGCTGCTGTGTGAGGAAGACTCTTTCTTCCTCGCAGAACTCCTTTATACCCTCAACTGGATGTCACTGCTGAAGCACCTCAACTACACCAAAGAGCAAGTGGAGAGTTTGCTGCCCACCCAAAGGAGGGTCTCTCTGTTTAGGTGAGGATGGGTCTGTGATGAAGGCATCTCATGTTCACTCTGGCCAAAGGGCTTTGAAAGGAAGCTAGAAGTAAGATCTTTTTCTTATCTGCCTCCTTGGATGATAAACCAGGAGATTCTAAACCAGGAGATTTCTCAGCCTCAGAATGAGATGGGAGGTCAGCAAAGCTTCAAGACCCAGCTCTGGGCCTGGAGGTGGCGCCCCTTTGTTTGCTTCTCACTAGCAACGAAGCCCACCTCCCTGTCGCAGAGCCCCCACTTTTCCTGGTTACCAGCCTCGACACTCGCAGACAGTTCTTCCTCTCGGGAATCACTGGTGTGTCCACGCACATCCAGGGGTCTCCAGAAGAGAGTAATATATACTTGGAGCTAAATAGGCAAGATGAAAAGATGTGTTTCTAGGGTAGGGAGGGATGCCATTGATGCCATATCTAGTTAGAGATTTTTATACATTTTTGAGTGGAAATCCAGAGAGGTAAAATATAGATATTTTGCCCAAAGAGGTAAAATTTAGGCAGTGGGCTTATCATGAGTCAGACCTTAGATGACAGTGTTTTACATTGTCCACTGACGTAGTGTTCACATCATAGAACCCCCAGGAGGAGCCTTGGAAGGGTGTTTTATATTCAAGGTGACGAGAACATTCTGAGCCTTAGCACTGGAGCTGGCACCCAGAATCTGAGCTGCCCCTGGGTCAGGGAGAGGAATGCTGAATTCCAGAAATCCGTATTTCGATTCTACTGGGTAAACATCTGAGGGATGGTCTCTGGCATACAGGACTGTCTAGTTCATGAATGAAATATTCAGTTCTTCTGGTTGTAGGTGACATGACTATCCAGAAGCTGGGGCAGTTTCCTTCCTTTTTCAGTATGAGGCTGACTGTACGTGGGCTGGCATCAGGTCTTGTCAACCAAGGGCCTGTCAGGGAAGCCTGACTCTCCCTTCAGAATTGAGTCAGGAAATGGGAGGGCATGCCACAGTTGTGTTTTATGCCTTCCTAGTGTGATGAAAAACAGCACTAGGCTGGAATCAGAAGGCCTGCCCCAGCCGGGTGTGGTGGCTCGCGCCTGTAATCTTGGCACTCTGGGAAGCTGAGAGGAGAGGATTGCTCAAGGTCAGGAGTTCAAGACCAGCCTGAGCAAGAGCGAGACCCTGTCTCTACTACAAAATCTAAAGAAATTAGCTGGACAACTTAAAATATATGAAAAAAATTAGCTGGGCATGGTGGTACATGCCTGTAGTCCCAGCTACTTGAGAGGCTGAGGCAGGAGGATCACCTGAGCTCAGGAGTTTGAGGCTGCTGTGAGCTAGATTGAAGCCACGGCACTCTAGTCCAGGCAACAGAGTGAGGTTCTGTCTCAAAAAAAAAAAAAAAAAAAAAGAAGGCCTGCCTCTACTTCTTGTTGTGTTATCTTTATTTATTTATTTATTTTTAGAGACAGGGTTCCCTCTGTCATGCATGCTGGGCTTCAGGGGCACAATCATAGCTCACTGCAGCCTTGATCTAGTGGGCTCAAGCAATATTCTTTCCTCTGCCTCCTGAATATCTGAGACTATAGGCATGTGCCACTAGGCCTAGCTAATTAAAAACAAATGTCTTTGGTAGAGATGGGGGGGTCTCTCTATGTTGCCCAGTCTGGTCTTGAACTCCTGGACTCAAGCAATCCTCCACCTTGGCCTCCCAAAGTGCTGGGATTACAGTCGTGAGCCACTGCACTCGGCCATTATCTTAATTTAAATAAGTCACTTAGAAACTCAAAGTTTTCAGTTTTGAATCTGTAAAATGGAGTTAATAATTGTCTACTTATGGAGTTGATCATTCAAATGGCAGGAAGCATTTATGAAAGCACTTGGTTTACTGTGGTGTCCTCTGCAAGTGTGAGGCTTATTTGTCATTTTGGGTGTATGTCTTAGAAACCTGCTCTATGAACTGTCAGAAGGCATCGACTCAGAGAACTTACAGAGCATGATCTTCCTGCTGGGAGACTCGATTCCCAAAATCCCAATGGTAAGTGAGTCACATAGAGTGGGGTCTATGTTTGCACTGCCTTAATCAATGATTGGGAGGATGCTGAGAAATATTTTCAGGGAGGTTTATTTTTTGTGGGCGACAAATGTCATATAAGGTTAGGAGCATTGACTTTGGTGTTGGATGGGCCTGGATTCTAGTCCTGATTCTGCTTCTAACCTGGTGATGTGGGGCAAGTGATTGAACCTTTCTGAGTCTCTGTTTTCTCATATGTCAAACACTAGACAATTATACTACTTCCTTTTAGAACTGTTGGGAGGATCAGATGAAATAATGTGCATGAAGTGTTAGCATTAGGCCAACATTTGGCAGAGTAACAACCATGCAGTAAATGCTGACTGCTGTTGGCATCCACCATGTTTTATGGCGTAATAATGTTCAGAGCACAATAAGGAAATGCGGAATTGGTAAACAATGGCAGAGTAGAAATTATTGTTATTATTTTTTTGAGGCAGAGTCTCCCTCTGTTGCCCAGGCTGGAGTGCCATGGTGTCAGCCTAGCTCACAGCAACCTCAAACTCCTGAGCTCAAGCAATTCTTCTGCCTCAGCCTCCCGAGTAGCTGGGAGTATAGGCGTGTACCACCATGCCCGGCTAATTTTTTTTTTTTTTTTGAGACAGAGTCTCGCTTTGTTGCCCAGGCTAGAGTGAGTGTGGGCGTCAGCCTCGCTCACAGCAACCTCAAACTCCTGGGCTCAAGCAGTCCTCCTGCCTCAGCCTCCCGAGTAGCTGGAACTACAGGCACGCACCACCATGCCCGGCTAATTATATATATATATATTAGTTGGCCAATTAATTTCTTTCTATTTTTATAGTAGAGACAGGGTCTCGCTCAGGCTGGTTTTGAACTCCTGACCTTGAGCAATCCGCCCGCCTCGGCCTCCCAGAGTGCTAGGATTACAAGCGTGAGCCACCACGCCCGGCCAGAGCTAATTTTTTCTATATATTTTTACTTGGCCAATTAATTTCTTTCTATTTTTAGTAGATACGGGGTCTCTCTCGATCAGGCTGGTTTTGAACCCATTTTTATTTATTGTTTTTTAGAGACAGAGTCTCCCTTTGTTGCCCAGGCTAGAGTGAGTGCCGTGGCATCAGCCTAGCTCACAGCAACCTCAAACTCCTGGGCTCAAGCAATCCTGCTACCTCAGCCTCTTGAGTAGCTGGGACTACAGGCATGCGCCACCATGTCCAGCTAATTTTTTCTATATATATTAGTAGGCCAATTAATTTCTTTGTATTTATAGTAGAGACGGGGTCTCGCTCTTGCTCAGGCTGGTTTCGAACTCCTGACCTTGAGCAATCCTCCTGCCTTGGCCTCCCAGAGAGCTAGCATTACAGGCGTGAGCCACGGCACCAGGCCTAAATTAACTTTTAAATCATCAAAGGCCGGTGCTCAAGCAGCCAAATGATTTTGTATGTTTTTCTCGCTCAGTATAATAATAACAGGAAATATCACTGTGTTTAGCTGTGGCATGAAACTGCGGTGTTACTTGGTGAGATTAAGGAAAACTGTACTTCCTTCTTGCATTGCAAACGATCTCAGCTTTATTGTGAAGGTGATCTCGTTCTTCATATCAGAATCGTGGCTGAGTCACACACCTCAGATTATCCATGTTGATTTCTGCTGAACTTTGCCATCAGGCCAGCGTGCTGCCGTGTGCAAAGGACAACCTATAAGCGACACAGATGAGTTTCATACCAGGGCTTAATGAGGCTGCGCTGTCTGCAAAGGCTTTGTCACAGAGATAAACTGGAGAACTGAACACCCCTCAGCCGAAAGGGAAAGGTTCTAAATTCACATGGTTCCAAATTCGTATGGACAAAATGACGTTTGCCTTTGTAGGGTGTTCTGGCTTCCCCTTTGATAGCTTTCCTAGAAATTTAAGCAGTATGGCTACTTGCACACATCCCCAGAGACCTGAACAACTGTCAGGAAATCCGTTCTCAGTTTAGCAATTATCACAGGAAACCACACCCAAACCTACTAGCTTTTTAGCAAAGAAACAAAACGAAAGAACTTTCAGACGTTTCCTGCTAGTATTTGTCAGAGTGGTATTTTTAAACTAGAGTAATGTACAGGCCCTATTTAGAGGTGCATGTGTGTGTGTGTGTGTGTGTTTATGTGTGTGCCCATGTGTCATTTACTAAACATCTAAAAGACATTTTACAAAGTATGAGTTTCCATCTTTGCTTCTGCAATCAGGTCTAGCCCCTTTTCCTTCTCCTGGTAGGCTGTCGTCAAGAGTTGAGTTTCTGTTTTGGGTTCAGAGAGAGCTCATTTGCGCTTAACCTATAGCAGAACCTTGTGCAGGGCTTGGGGGGCGGGAGCTCCCCTTGGTCAGCTGACCAGCTCTGGGTTAATCTCCCTCTCTCCTGCTTTATTCCCTGGCCAGGCTGTCGGTGCGCTGGGGGTGCAGATGGGCACAGACACTTCCTTGCCTTGTTGGTCCTCCTGCCTGTGTCTGCAATTGCCTGAAAATTTGTGCTCACTGTCTCTCTTTTTTAATTTTTAGAGAGAGCCTTGGTCTGCAACCTTGGCTAGAGTGCAGTGGCGTCCTCATAGCTCACAGCAACCTCAATCTGCTGGGCTCAAGCAATCCTACTGCCTCAGCTTCCCAAGTAGCTGGGAGTATAGGCACGCGCCAGCACACCAAGCTGATTTTTCTACTTTTTGTAGAGACGGGGTCTCCTTCTTGCTCCAGCTATTTATTCTTGAACTCCTGAACTCAAGTGATCCTCCCACCTTGGCCTTCTAGAGTGCTAGGATTACAGGTGTGAGATACCACACCCAGCCTATACTCTCTTTTTTGATCAATGAGGACAGAAACCAGTTAAGACTTTGAAACTCAGCTGGGCGCGGTGGCTCATGCCTGTAGCCCTAGCACTCTGGAAGGCCAAGGCAGGAGGATCGCTCGAAGTCAGGAGTTCGAAACCAGCCTGAGCTAGAGTGAGACCCCATCTCTACTAAAAATATAAAGAAATTAATTGGCCAACTAAAATATATAGAAAACGTTAGCCGGGCATGGTGGCGCGTGCCTGTAGTCCCAGCTACTTGGGAGGCTGAGGAAGCAGGATTGCTTGAGCCCAGGAGTTTGAGGTTGCTGTGAGCTAGGCTGATGCCACAGCACTCACTCTAGCCCAGGCAACAGAGTGAGACTCTGTCTCAAAAAAAAAAAAAAAAAAAGACTTTGAAACTCTGGCCTCTCCTTGAGTTGGTTGGCATTTTGGGTGCCTTGTTTGAACACACACTTCACACACACACTTTTATGAGCGCTTCCTCTACCTATGGCCCTGTTCAATGGTCCTCCTTCCCTTTACTGCTAAACTTCTCTCTGTTCACTAAGTCAACTCTTGGTCACATTCCAGAGCATTTGGTTCAATGAACCTATTCTTGCTGCCACCAAGAAGCTCCTAACAGCCAGATTTCCATTTCTCATCGTTTTCCGCATATGGCCCTCTTTGCCCAGAACGCCCTTTCCCACAGTGTCCCTGAAAACCTCGTCCCCCTTCAAGACGCAACTCAGGCATCACCGCCTCCTCCGTGCGGCTCCTGCGGGGCCTGCTGCGTGGACGGATGGATGGAGAATAAATGAGTGGTATCACCATGCGAAGCCATCTTTGACTCTTCCTTCATTTCTTCACCCGCTTTCAGTGGGTCTCCAAACCTCACCGAATGAGGGTTAAGAAATGCCCAGTGCCTCCCCTGCGTCGCCCCTGTTGGCTGTAGACCAGGTCTTCATCATCCCTTCAACCAGAGGATTGAATCTTCCTGCCAGTGTTTTCTCCCCTGGCTTACCCCTAAAAGATTTCTGTTTACAAACAAATCTGTTCATGTCACTATTCTCCTTAAACACTGTCGCTGGCAGCCCTCGACCTCTGGGACACTTGCCCGAACTCCTCAGGCGGTGCGTGACTGTTCCAGGCTCCACTCTGGCCTCTTCCCGACATCCCTCCGCACACTGCCCCTTTCAGACATTAGGCTGTCCCACACGCAGACCAGAGACTTCTTCCCGGTTCTCACCCTGCCGATGCTGATGTATGCAGTTAGTGCTCGCATGCTCACTCTCTGGTTACTCTTTTCTGTGGGCTCCAATGTAAGTTTGTTCATATAATTTTTTCATAGCCAGATGAATATGTTGAAAAGCCCTAATCACTGAAAAGATTGTGGTGCCTTCCACCCCGTGTGTAATTCAGTGTTACAACAATGCTAGCTCATTTGTGATTCCCACCCCCAGGAATACTTTAGAAATTTGTTTTTCTTTTAAAATGGCAGCTTCAAAATCCGTTCAAAACATTTTTCCTCATTTCTTTGGTGTCTCTCTTTTGCTGGTTCCCTCATCACTGATATCACTTAAAGCTGTGATTAGAGCCAGTCTAGTTCAGTGATTGATAACACAGACTTTGGCATCAGATGTACTGGCTCTGCCACTTATTGGCTTCGTGACCTTGGACAAGTTACTGGAACCTCCCTGTGCCCCGATTATTTCATATTTATAATGAAGATTATAATGGTATCGACTTCATTGGGTTACTTTGAGGTTAATGCAGCAAGCAGTGTACCTGTTATATAGAGAGTTATATACATTTTGTATCTGGTATTGATATAGATTGTATAGAGATTTGCTTGGGAATGCCTTTTCCCCTACACTATTGAGCTCCTTGAAGGCGGAGACTATATCTTACTGTCATGCAGAACCTGTCACCCAGTGGTCATGCAGTGATGTTTAACAAGTGAATGGATAAGCAGTAGCAGGTAAATGTGACTCCATTGATTCTCTTGCAGACCTCTCTAGGTTTGCTGTCACATCTAGAGAAACAAGGTAAAATAGATGAAGATAATCTGACATTCCTGGAGGACCTCTGCAAAAAAATTGTACCTAAACTCGTAGAAAAGATAGAGAAGTATAAAGGAGAGAAAGGTAAGTAGCTTGTGCTTGCTTACTTGCCTTAGACCATGGGAATTCTTAAACGTGTTGGTCATGAACGATGTTTACTCATCTGTCTGATAATATTATTCTTGGGAAAGCCAGAAAATGTCTCCATTTGCTCATTCAATACACATTTATTGAGCACATACTTTGAGCCTGGCACTGCTTTAGAAGTTGTGAATATAGCCCGGTGCAGAGCAAAGCTCCTGCCCTCTTGGAATTTATAGTTTAGAGGGGGAAAGTAGTTTTAGACAAACGTCTTCTAATTCTTATAAGGGAGTGAGAGTAGAGGAAATTGTTTTGAATGAAATAACATGAAAAAGAAGGCAGGATAGCAGAGGGGTTAAGAGTGGAGTTCTAGAGTCAGACTGCCAGGACTCCACTTATTAGTGGTGTGGTGGCCCTTTCTTGGCTTTTCTGTCTCACTCTCCCTGTCTGTAAAGTGGGCATAATAGGTTTTTGTGAGGACTGAGTGAGATAATTTTTTTTCTTTTTTTTTTGAGACAAGGTCTCACTCTGTCACCTAGGCTAGAGTGCAATAGCGTCATCATTGCTCACAGGAACCTCAAAATCTTGGGCTCCAGCGATCCTTCTGCCTCAGCCTCTTAAGTGGCTGAAACTATAGGGCAGGACACCCAGCTAATTTTTCTATTTTTGGCAGAGATGGGGGTCTTGTTCTTGCTCTTGCTCAGGTTGGTCTTGAACACCTTGCTAGGATTACAGGTGTGAGCCACTGTGCCCGGCCTGAATGATAATTTTTATAAAATGCCTGTCTGGCATGGAGTAAGCATTTAGCACATGTTGCTATTATGACTATGTTTGTCAGAGAGAGGTCATGAAGACGTTCATATTCTCAGAGAAGAGTTTAATTTTTCTCTCTCATTTTAAAAGCCTGTGTAATGAAGGTGGTTTTGCTGTGATATTATATAGAGGTAGAAACACAGGGCAGAAATCAAATCTGGCTGCCTCTCTGTGTGTCAATATGCTAAATATTTATGTTTTTCTGAGTCTGTCACTCCACTGTTAAACAACAGCTGTACATAAAAACTCATGAGTATATCCAAGAAGCTTTTATGACACACTCATAAGTTGGCTCGGTGAGTGAATGCAAATTTCTTTGTTTAAGAATGAAACTAGCTAAGAGGAAGCTGCTCCCTAAGAATTCAATAAACACAGAATGAGTTGAGAAACAAAATATACTGTTGTTAAATTTATAAAATCTCAAGCAATGACTAAAGCAATGAATAAATGCATAATTTAAGTAAAAGTTAGGAAGACTAAGATCAGTTGTCCTTATTAAATTATTAAGTGAGAAATAAAAACCAGGAAGTTGATACTGAAAGAGTGTTTGGAATCCTTACATGAGCTCTGAAAGCAGAGATATTTTTTCCTGAACACGTTGTCATTTCCCTATAATATAGTGCCCCACACAAAGTAAACACAGGGCAAGTGGTCATATTATTTTGGATGTTTGAACTCTGGAGAAGACACGCTAGTTTCTATGTAATTAATGTTTACGTTTGCCTCTGTGACTCCTGAGGACTGAGTTTTATACCAGAAGAAGACTTTTAATTTTGATTTTTCTTTTCTACAACCTACCTGTGTGATCTCTTTTGGGTGTCAATCATTATTGATATTTTAATATTGACTTTCTACAGTCTTAAGAATTTGGTCCTAATTCTGCCTTTAGGATGAAAGACTAAAGGCCTGAAAAGACAGTAAGTATGCAGATTTTAGACTTTTGTGTAAGTGTGACCCAAAGTCCAAGTTCATTGTATCTGATTAGGATATTAGCTTTATTTAAGGACCACCTGGTTAACTTTCTGAGTTTTCTTGAGCCTTGATGTTTGCTTGAGTATTTTAAATTTATTATTAAAAAGAATGTATATAATTATAATAAAATTAAATAAAAATTCAATAATGAAAACAATCAGAATGTAGCAGGTAAAAGTTTCTCTCTTCTCCTCCTTCCTCCATTGCCAACCCATTCTCCAAAGATAACCACTCTTTGGATATATTCTTCTATATAGAAAGAATTGTATGCCTATAGATATTTTATATGTAGATTTAACTAAGACCATGCTAATCATATTCTATAACTTGCTTTTCCCCCCACCTAATATAGCTGATATTTTCATGAATATCATATAGATATTGTTCATTCTTATTAATGGTTCCATAGAAATCCATTTTATGGATAGAACATTTTTAAGTAATTAGCACTTTTGAATGGTTTTTCTTTTTTCTTCCTTTCTTATTTTTTTTATTTCTTTCCTTCTTTCTTTCTTTTTTTTTTTTTTTTGCTATTATAGTCTGAATTCTGATACTAATTTTTGAGGTAATGCTTTTGGAATCTCTATTTGGTAATTACCTGGTATATTAAGCACCATAAGTTCTAAAATAGTATTTGGCAAAGTATATAGTACTTTTAAGGAACTAATAAAACTATTAAAATAACAAAAACATAAAAACAGTAAGAAAGAAAACATAACAATACAAGGAATAAAAATTAACAATAATAAAATGAATTATAAATTCACATTTTTTCTGGGTGTATATTGAGGCCTCCATAAGGAGATGCCATTAGAAATGTACGAGTCTCTTTAAAATACTTTTGATGGCTGCTTGTGATGACTGGTTATGTTTCGCTTTCTGTGATTTTATTTGCAGCTGCCCAGTTAGCGACACTTCCTGTGGACAAGGAAACTGAGTCATTGCATCAAGGAGAGGAAGAACAGCTATTTTCCCGATCAGACACTACAAAATTGCTTGGAGCCTTACAGGTAGGTTCAATGGTGTGCTTGTCAACGTAACAATCCATTCCACTTTCCTCCCCCAACCCAAAAAGAAAGAAAGAGAAAGAGAGAGAGAGGCCCTCATTTGTAATGTTTGCTGTAAAGAGTCCCACCATGGCTGATTTCAAGCAAACAACATGACATCAACCAGATTGCACATTTTCTGAAAATTTAACAATTGGCTCTCACTAGCTGGTTTGACCTGACTCCAGCACACACACCCTTGGGTTGCTTTGCAATGGTTCCTTTGTCCTTATCTGTAGGATGCAATTAGAGCTGGCTTCATGGGCATGCAATCTGAGCAGTCATTACAGTGCCCCATGCTTTGTTTAATGCTCTGCTGTTACCATTTTGAAATTCTTAAAGACAGGGTATTGTTCTGTCACCCAGGCTAGAGAGCAGTGGCGCCATCATAGCTCACTGTAGCCTTGAACTCCTGGGCTCAAATGATCTTCCTGCCTCAGCCTTTCTTCCGAGTAGATGGGACTACAGGCACACATCACCATGCCCAGCTTTTTTAACTTACTTTTTTGTGAAGAAGAGGGTCCTGCTATGTTGCCCAGCTGATCTCAAATTCCTAGCCTCAAGCGATCCTCCTGCCTTGGCTTCCCAATGTGCTGGGATTACAGGTGTGAGCCACTGCACCTGGCCCCAGTAGCTTTTTAAAATGTGGTTTCCCAGCACTGACATTCTAGGATTCGGTAATTGTAAGTTAAATTGCCTGCTAAACCTAATTCTTCCTACCCACTTTTTCAACTAGTTTTATGCTCAGATACTGACATGTACCTAGAACACACACACACGCGCACACACACACACACACACACACACACACACACACACACACACACACGATTCTGCTCTTTGCCTTTTAGAAATTCAGCGTTTCTAAAGGAGTGTGGCTCAGCTGTGGTCTCTGAAGTCATGCTGACCAGGGAAGACTCTGGCCACAGCCGGTTTAAAGTGGGGGCTAGTTGTGGTGGTGCTAGAAGTGCCGGGGGGTTGGGGGGCAGCATATCAGATCACCTATATTCTCGTGGACTCTCAGGGACTGAAGCTATCTTAAAAGTTACTGGGCAACCCTGCCCCTCTCCAACAAGCGCTAGATAAAATAAAACTTGGTGAAACATCTCATGTTTCATATGCACCTCAGGCAGGGGTTTTCTTATTTAAAAGAACACTGCTAGTAATTGGATTTAATGAGAAGACACTCTTTGTATTTCAAGTAACATCTCCTAATTTGTTTAAAAACAACATCAGAGCCAGGTGCGGTGGCTCACACCTGTAATCCCAGCGAGTCAGGAGGCAGAGGTGGGAGGATCTCTTGAGTCCAGGAGTTTGACAGCAGCCTGGGCAATACAGCAAGATCTTGTCTCTAAAAAAATTAAAAAACATTATTCAGTGCAATGGCATGTGTCTGTAGTCCCAGCCACTCAGGAGGCTGTGGCAGAAAGATTGCTTGAGCCTAGGAGTTCAAGGTGACAGTGAGCTATGATAATGCCACTTGCACTCTGCACTGCAGCCTGGGTGACAGAGCGAGACTCCATCTCTAAAAAAACCAAAAACAACAACGAAAACAAAAAACACTAAATCCCCTAAATCAATATTTTTGATTGTGGCATAGAGGTTTTTTTTGTTGTTTTGTTTTGTGTTTGAGACAGAGTCCCACTCTGTTGCCTGGGCTAGAGTGCCATGGAGTCAGCCTAGCTCACAGCAACCTCAAACTCCTGGGCTCAAGCGATCCTCTTGCCTCAGCCTCCTGAGTAGCTGGGACTACAGGCACGCACCACTGTGCCTGGCTAATTTTTTCTATTTTTAGTTGTTTGGCTAATTTCTTTCTATTTATAGTAGAGACAAGGTCTCACTCTTGCTCAGACTGGTCTCAAACTCCTGAGCTGAAGCAATCCTCCTGCCTCGGCCTCCCAAAATGCTAGGATTACAGATGTGAGCCACCATGCCCGGTCTAGAGTTTTCTGGCTCTCTTTAACTGCTTGTTTTTAAGGCCTTACTGGACACACAATTTCCTTTGGGGCTTTCTGCTGTAGACTGAGGGCTGAGGATGCTGGGAGGTAATGATGGTGATGAAGAGGGAGGAGGATACAGAGAAGACAGGGCCCTAGACTTTGTGTTAATTTTGTATTTAATTATACAAAATGTTAATGTAGGCCGAAAGTAAATTCTACATTGTATCCTCGTCTCTTTTCCTTTATCAAGTACCACTTGTATTTGTTTTATGATTTATCCTATTGTTACTTTTGAGAAAAACCAACCCATATCTCCCCTTTATTACAAAAGAGATAGTTTAGGTTATTAAGTATGAAATGTTTGATTTCCTTAAGTACTCTTTGACAGTTGATACCTCTGACACTTCACTCTGACCCTTATTTTATTTTAATTGTGAAGGTACATCCTCATTCTTTCAAACGCATGGTTTGGCTTGAGATTATCTTTCAAATTTTTTCTAGAGCAGTTTTTTTGAAACCATGGGTAGGTAAAAAAATTGGAGTTATTTTCAAATATGAATTTCCTAGTGGATCCAATGCAGTGCAGATAGCTTGAAATACCAGCGAACTGTTTGGGAAGGATGCGGGTAATGAACACATAGTACGTCGATGGTTTGAGAAGCTCAGTTCTCGTGACTTTAATCTTGAAAATGAGCCATGTGGGCCACCGGAGACCAAGGGGAATAATGATGAGCTGAAAGCTGTAGTGGAAGTGAATCCATCTCAACCTACGTGTGAATTAGCAGCAAGGTTTGACGTTGCTATTCCAACAATATTGGACCATTTGAAACAGATCACCAAGGTAAAGAAACTGGATAGATAGGTACCACATGAATTAAGCGAGTATCAGAAGACAAATCTTCTCAAAGTTTGCCTTTCTTTGCTGTCATGACATAAAGGTGAACTATTTCTACACTGTGCTGTTACGTGTGATGAAAAATGGATTCTTTACTGCAAGTGTTCAGCACAGTGTGGACAACAATGAAGTGCTGAAACACAGTCCAAAACTGAATATTCATCAAAAAAAGCTAATGGGAGTACTATTCAGCTCTAAGAAACAATGGTGATATAGCACATCTTATATTTCCTGGTTAGAGCTGGAACCCATGCTACTAAGTGAAGTATCCCAAGAATGGAAAAACAAGCACCACATATATTCCCCAGCAAACTGGTATTAACTGAGTAGCACCTAAGTGGACACATAGGTACTACAGTAATAGGGTATTGGGCGGGGGGAGGGGGGGCGCGTATATACATACATAATGAGTGAGATGTGCACCATCTGGGGGATGGTCATGCTGGAAACTCAGACTTGTGGGGGGAGGGGGGTAAAGGGCATTTATTGAAACCTTAAAATCTGTACCCCCATAATATGCCAAAATAAGCAAAAAAAAAAAAAAAAAAGCTAATGGTGTCTGATTGTTCGTCCAGTGCTGGTATTATCCACTGCAGCTTCATGAAACCTGGTCAATCGATTACAGTGGATGTCTACTGCAATCACTTGGATGAAATGTTGAGAATGCTTGTGATTAAGCAAACGAGATTGGTCAATAGAGACAGGCCAATCCTCTCGCAAGACAATGCTTGACCACATGTTGCACAAACTATGCTGCTCAAGCTATAGAAGCTGGACTTGGAAACGCTCTGTCATCCACTGTATTTACCAGACCTTGCACCAACTGACTACCACTTTTTCCAGGCTTTGGGCCACTTCTTGCAAGGAAAAATATTCAATTCTCAACCAGCTGTGGAAAACACCTTTCAAGATTTCGTCACCACTTGCTCTCCAGGCTTCTTCATAATCAAGCTACCATTAAGATGGCAAAACTGTGTTGATAGTTTAGGCACATATTTTGATCAATTGTACTGCTTCTTGTTTGAGATATAATAAACAACACTTCTAATTAGAAATTGGACATTTCATATTTAATGGCCTAATAACATACTGAAGTACTATTCTTCACTTTGCTTCCTTTATGTGACAGTATCTCCTGAAGAGGAGTATAGAGATTGTCTTTGGCATCCTATAGGCTATTCCCAATCCTTAGTTATTCCAACAATGCTGCAAAGAATAAATGCCCTGGTGCACATGTCATGTTGTATTTTTTGCCAGTGTGTGTTTGTGAAGCTTCCCCTTTGGGGCGAGAGTTGATTCTCCTCCTGTCTCCTGTCAATGCCCTTTCCTGTGGCTGGGGATTAGATGTCTGCCCTTCTCTGTAGCAAGTCTAGATTTTTGGTCTTCGTCTTAACTGTGTGAACTTCCTGTATTTCATGCATTTTCTGTTTTCTTCACAGGAGAGGCCTTGTCAAAATGAGCATGCAAGGAGTAATGGTAGGTATTTCTAATATAGTTTTGACAACTCGGGTCAGTAAGGCAGGAGCAGATATATTAGATATATAGCAAGTAATGCAAGGTGACTTGATAGAGAAGATTTACAAATTAGTGGTGAATTCATTTTTTATTTCAATTCAAAGCAAAACAATGAATGCAGGGATTATGCCAGCTCTTCTGTGGGGTATGGGGAGGGCGGGGTGGTCTGTGCTCTGAATGCTCAGCACAGCCGACTCTGGGGAATACAGCTGCTCTCCCTCCAGCCTTCAGAACGAGGTCACTCTTGGTGGGGAGGAGAGGGAGGAGAGGAGCCCCTGGCAGGGCTGAAGCCTGCAGGCAGCAGTGGCTGCAGAATGTGCGGTCTGAGGAAGTGTCTTCTCCAGAGTGGCTCCAGATGCTTCTGCTGTTCAGAGGGCAAGAGGAGAAGCCAGAGGAGGGACTTGATAGTGTGTATTTAGTGCTCAGAAACCACGACCTTAGGAAAATATTCCAGAATCTGCCACTGGGCTACACTGCTTATGAACAAACAGGTTTTGGTGGAGTCTGTCTGTGATATGTAGAGTCTATCAGAGCTCATTCCTCATTTTTTTTCCTGGAAAATTAACCTTCAGAGCCCAAGACACACAACTTTCCTAGAAATCAGTCTTTTTGCTAACCTGGAGGTTGCATGTGTGACGTCGGTGATGGTGATGATATTGGTGAGAGTTACCGTCACTGAGCACCTGCCACGTGCCAGGCACTGTTTGAGAACTCTCCAGGGGTTATGTCATTTAATTTTCCAGTCACCTAGAGATAGACACTACTGTTATCACCATTTAATGATGAGGAGACCGGAACCCACAGAGTGTAGTACTTTGCTGAAGGTCCTGCAACGGGAGCAAAGTGGAGCTGGCATTTGAGCCCAGCACTCTGACTCCAGAGCTCGTCCTCCGAGGAGCAGGTTCCACCACTGTGCACCTGAGTGAGCTCAGGCAACCACTTCTCTTCTGTGAAGAATAAGGCAGTTTCTTTCCACTTTACAATTCTGCAGTTCCAAAGTTTAGACGTGGCTTCCCCTGGAGTGTTACCTTCTCCCAGTGTGAGAAGGAATTTACAGGTGCTCTGAGCCACTGCAGCTTGGGGCCCTTTTCATGCCTTTTCTGTTCTGGGGAAGAGGGACTCGCTCAGCCCGAGCTGAGCCTGAGGACTGACCTTTGACCATAGTTAATAACTAACCCATGCCCAGAGTCAAGGGCAGAGCTTGGTGGATTCTACTATAAACTTGCTGGGAGTGGGAGAAGAAAACTGGTTCATGTTACATTTTCCTGTTGCTGTCGTGTGACAAATAACCCATTGTCGACTCCCTCTCTATGGTAGATTGTCATCCAGAGGAACCAGGGAGTTTGCAGGAACACTTCAAAGCAGTGTGATCCTCAGCCAGTGCCAAACGCATGACTAAGCTAATTCCAGTGCTGTGGACTGATTTTTGCCTTGCCCAAATAGGGTCCCTGGACCTTTCTTTCTTTTTTCCCCCCTCTTTTTACTTCTTGAGATCCACCTAGCCTCTATATAACCAGTGACAGACAAATGCTGACTCAGCTCATCCATGCTTTCTACCGGGAACCTGTGATCTGATCCATGTCTTCTTAATCCCCCAACCCATGCTCTGGCAGCAGGGTAGTCTCCAAAGGGACAAAGCAAAAAGGAATGTGAGAACATCAGCCTCTCTTATCAGGAAGGGAATTGTGGCTGAATTTCTGTCTCAGGAGTGCCTTGAGGAAAAACCAATCCTCTAGAATTAGATGCTCTATTATAAAATTATTAGTAAGGAAATCTAAGTGCTTGGGTAAAGATATTTGAAGAGCCTACGTACTTCTCTTTCCAGGTGACAGAGCCACAGATGGTGCACTGGCCTTGGGCTCCATGATCCCAGCATCTGCCACCCGAAGAGCATCTCCCAACACTCCGAATTCTGAAGCCAGCACAGAGGTCTGGACAGTTTCTTAGGTGCTGCCTACCTAGGGTCCAGCCCTTAGTGGCTTTGAGGGCTTAGAGCTGTTTGTTTCTGACTTGGTTCTTCTTCTCCTTGTGATTATCTCTATTCTTGCCACCTTTTTTGGTGGCAAGTCATACTTTTGGCTACGGAAGTAATACTATTACATTTTCAGTCATGTGCACCCTCTGGGTTATTTTCTGGAGAGGGGAAGTTTCTTTTTTTAACCCACTGAAGCCAGTTCTTTTCTGCTTGGATCAAAGATGTACCATATTTTCTGGTTTTTTTTTTGAGACAGAGTCTCACTCCGTTACCCAGGCTAGAGTGCTGTGGTGTCAGCCTAGCTCACAGCAACCTCAAACTCCTAGGCTCAAGCAATCCTCCTGCCTGAGCCTCCCGAGTAGCTGGGACTACAGGCATGTGCCACCATGCCCGGCTAAATTTTTCTCTATATTTTTAGTTAGCCAATTAATTTCTTTCTATTTTTTAGTAGAGACGGGGTCTCGCTCTTGCTCAGGCTGGTTTAGAACTCCTGACCTTGAGCAATCCGCCCGCCTCAGCCTCCCAGAGTGCTAGGATAACAGGCGTGAGCCACCACGCCTGGCCATGTGTACCATATTTTCAAGGAATCATTTTAGTTGCACAGAGCCTTCACTAAGCAACTCAGCCAGTTTGTAATTGTATATTTTTTACAATAGCCTTCAAAAATAATTGCACATATTTTAAAATTCCTACTTCGATCATATATGTATTTTTATTTTTTTTTTGAGATGAGGTCTTTCAGTGTTGCTCAGGCTGATCTAAAACTCCTGGGCTCCCACCTCAGCCTCCTGAGTAAGTGTGACTATAAGTGCGAGCCACTGCACTGGCTTGTGTATTATTTTTATGTCCAGAAATAAAGTTACAAAAGAATTTTCTCTGTTTTTTTTTTTTTTTTTTTTGAGACAGCCTCACTTTGTTGCCCAGGCTAGAGTAAGTGCCGTGGTGTCAGCCTAGCTCACAGCAACCTCAATCTCCTGGGCTCAAGCGATCCTACTGCCTCAGACTCCTGAGTAGCTGGGACTACAGGCATGCACCACCATGCCCAGATAATTTTTTGTATATATATTTTTAGTTGGTCAATTAAATTTCTTTCTATTTTTGGTAGAGACGAGGTCTTGCTCAGGCTGGTTTCGAACTCCTGACCTTGAGCAATCCGCCCGCCTCAGCCTCCCAGAGTGCTAGGATAACAGGCGTGAGCCACCGCACCCAGCCAGAATTTTCTCTGTTTTTGGAGGAATCAGATCACTCCAGAAACCTATCATCTGAAAAAAACACTTTTACATTTTTGTTGTCTTGTTAAATTCTTACGTATGCTTTTTTCATGCTGCTGACCCAAAAATGAAGATGCTTTTGCAAAAATGCTGGATTTGACAATATTAAAACACATATTCTGTTTTCTAACTATGATAATTGAGACTCTCCAGGCTAATCGGGTGAAGTCTGAATTTTAGTCAGAATCTGGCATTCCAAGCCAGCGCCAGGACCTTGAGAACTGTCTGCCTCTGACACTAGGAGTGGCACCCTAAGAGAAGGGAAGTGGCTGATCTCCAGTGCACATGAGATTTATTCTTTGTCCTGGGCTCTAGGACTTAAAAAGAATCTTTGAAATTATATTCAGATCATAATTTAATAGCAGAACTGAGTAGAGAGTCGTCAGAATCACCAAGCTTTCGATATGTTACTTTAGAATTAATGTGGCACAAGTATTCCCAGGGATTTAGACTAAAGTATAAAAACATGGTTTTAAAAACTGGCAATAAGAGATGTACCCTGCTCTTTTTCAAAATGGACTCACTAGGGTGATGGGTTAGAAACATTTAAACCCCTACATTGAGGATCCCTACTAAGTGGTTGTATCTCTTCTTCAAGGAGGTAGCTGTGTACGGGATGAATAGGAAACTCAGAGGCCACTGTGTCATCATCAACAACCACACATTTACCTCTGCCTCTTCACTAGATGTTAGACCAGGGACCCATAAAGATGCTGGTAAGAAAAGCCTGAAAGAATTTACCAAATGCAATTTGGAGATTTTTTTTTTTAAGAGATGGGTTCTCACTCTGTCTTCTGAAGATCTTACAATTCTTTTTTATTTTCATATTTTCTCTTTGTAACTTTTATCATCCATATAAATGTAAGGATGATATCATAAATGTTTCTGAGCCTTTTGTATATCCCTGGGTGTCACCAATCGCTAAAGAGTGACGAGAATCGTTGACTGTTTATACCTGAGTGGTTTGGGGAGAGCATGCGGGGTCGACTCAAGAAAACCTGGGCTTGGGCTCTGGCTCCACCACTAGCTAAGTTTGTGACCATGGGAAAGTCGTGGGACTGCAGCTTCCTCATGTGCGGGACAGGACTGCTGACTCTCAGGACTGTTGTGACAACACTGGGTACTACAGGCAGGCAGTTTCATTGTAAGATTTTGTTGTTCTGACAGTAAAAATAATCCAAAACTTTAGACTATTTGCTGTGCAATTTTTAGAACTAATTAGCATCGTTTCACTTTCTCATTTTATTTTGTTTTGCTTCATTTCATTATTTCCCCTTCCCCTCCTTTTCTTACAGAGTCCCTGAGGCGTGTGTTTAAGTGGCTTGGGTTCACAGTGTGCAAGCATGATGATGTGACCAAGGGCCGTATGGATGAGATTCTGCAGGAACAGAAGAGTCATCCAGACCATGCTGACTGGGACTGCTTCGTGTTCTGTGTTCTGACCCACGGGAAAGATAGGGAGGTCTACTGTTCAGACGGGGTTCCCATTGCCATTGGGAAGATCCTGTCTCACTTCACAGCCAACCAGTGCCCTAGACTGGCTCAAAAACCTAAGCTCTTTTTCATCCAGGCCTGCCAAGGTAAAGCGATACAACCTTCCGTGCCCATTGAAGCAGATGCCATGAACCCTGAGAGCACATTCCCTCCTCTGGAGTACAGAATTCCCATCACGGTGGATTTCCTGCTCGGGCTGTCCACTGTCCCAGGCTATCTATCGTTTCGACACATGGAGGAAGGCAGCTGGTATATTCAGTCTCTGTGTAAGCATCTGAAGACCTTGGTCCCAAGGTGAGAGCTCTGAGTTTTTCCATCCACCTGCCTGTACATCAGTCCACCTGTCCAGCTGCCCATTTATCTATCTATGCATCCGTCCATCCATCCATCCATCCATTTATGACAACCTTGTATTGAGTACCAGATGGATCTGGAAAGGAAGATACAGAATAAAAAAAGACACGGTCCCCGGCCTCATGTTGCTCAGAAGCTTGAGGGATAGAAAAACACAGACAGGGAAGAGCATCCCCAGGTGCTAAATACATGTTGTAAAGCACGCGTGTTATGGGAATGCACAGGACAAGTACCTCACCCAGATTTGGAGGATCAGAGTAGGTCTACTAGTAGAAATGACAAATAGATGTTATCAGGGTGAAAATATCAGGGTGAAAGACTTGTTGGGCAGAGGAAACAGCATGAACAAAGCATGGGAGCCTTTTATTTGTTCCTTCCTTTATGGTTTATCAGGCACTCATATTTGCTGAGCACCTATGTGCTGTCTTTGGCATTCTATTTGCCACTGGCAACTTCCCTTCTGCCACATGCTCCTTTTCTGTACCCTGGAAATGGACCTTCACCAGGGTTCTTCCCTGGGCCCCCTTCTCTGCACTTGCACATTCATTCTCTCTCTCCCCCACTCCCCTCTTGGCAGCTTTAGCTATACCTAGAGGCCACTTGCACCTCCATGAAAAGGTCTCTCATAGTGCCATCTCCGGTCCACTTATCTCTGAATTCTTGAGCAGAGACCCTGTTTCATTCAACTTTATATCCTCAGCACGTGATACAGATATGTTGTTGGGCTTGATAAAAATTTGCTGGATCAGTGAATGACTGCCTGAGCCAACCTCATTCACAGCCTGCCAGACATCCCGCCTTTGTGTTGCCCTTGGACCTCACATCCAGTATGCATCTTCCTGAACACATCTTCCCAGCCTTCTCTAGGAGCTCCTACTCCTCAATCTTCATTTCTAGGAGTGGCCACCATGCTCTTCTGGAAATTCAAGACTAGAGCCTTGAGTCAACTTTTCCCTCTTCTTTACCAACTCCTCCACCCCCACCACAGCCATCAGAGGCCAATGGCTATGGCTTCAGGAACAAGGCAATATTTATTCAGGGTCTACTATGTGTCCACTATACTGGGTACTGACCTACGGGCTGGGCAGTTGTGAACAAGAGAGATGTTATCTCCTCTACATGGAGCTAACAGTCCAGTGAGGGGAAGACACATAATAAAAATGTAAGTGAATATTTAAATCATTATTATTATTGAAAAATATTTAACAGTTTATTAAAAGGAGATGATATGAAAGCACGACTAAGCAATGCCTTTTTTTGCTAATCCAGAAATGTCTTTTTGTGTTTTCTTTATTTTTTAATTGATACATTGTAAATGTACATATTTGTGGTCTACAATTTGATATTTTGGTACATATATACTTTGTATAATGATCAAATCACAGTAGTTAGTGTATACATCACCTTATGCATTTATCATTTCTCTGTGGTGAGAAGCTCTAAAAGCTTCTCTTCCAGTTATTTAGTGATATACAATACTTTCCTGTTAACTAATACAATACTTTCCTGTTAACTATGGTTGCCCCACTGTGCAATAGAATACCACAACTTAGGGAAGCATGGAAGAGGGTTTAAGGTTGTAAAATTACCTATTGAGTACAATGTACACTATTCGGGTGATGGGTACACCAAAAGCCCAGACTTCACCACGATACAATATATCCATATAACAACACTCCACTTGTAACCCCTAAGTCTATTGGAAAAAATTAACACCAGAACTTATTCCTGGCAGTACAATTGTAACTTTGCACCCATTCACCAACCTTTCCCCATCTTCCCTTCCCCCTTCCTCCTCTTCCTCATTAGTCTCTCATAACCCCTGTTTACTCTCTGCTTCTATGATATCAACTTTTTTGTTTTATATTCCACATATGAGTGAGAACATGTTTTGTTTTGTTTTGTTTTCTGTGTGTGGTTTATTTTATTTAACATTATGTCTTCTGAGTTCATCCATGTTATTGCAAATTACAGGATTTCATTGTTTTTTATGGCTGAATGGTATTCCACGGTGTATATACACCACATCATCTTTATACATTCCTCCATTATTAGACACTTAGGTTGATTCCATATCTTGCCTGTTGTAAATAGTGCTGAAATAAACATGAGTGCACATATATCTTTGAATATTTTTTTTTTTTTTTTTTTGCCCAGGCTAGAATGAGTGCCCTGGCATCAGCCTAGCTCACGGCAACCTCAATCTCCTGGGCTTAAGCGATCCTACTGCCTCAGCCTCCCGAGTAGCTGGGACTACAGGCATGCGCCACCATGCCTGGCCAATTTTTTGTATATATATTTTTAGTTGGTCAATTAATTTCTTTCTATTTTTAGTAGAGATGGGGTCTCACTCAGGCTGGTTTCAAACTCCTGACCTTGAGTAATCTGCCTGCCTCGGCCTCCCAGGGTGCTAGGATTAGAGGCGTGAGCCACCACACTCAGCCTATCTTTGAATATTGATTTCATTTCCTTTGGATGTATACTCAGTAGTAGGATTGCTGGATCATATGGTAGTTCTATATTTAATTTTTTGAGGAACCTCCATACTGTTTTCCATAATTCCGGTACTAATTTATAATCTCACCAACAGTATGTGAGTGTTCCCTTTTCTCCACATCCTTGCCAACACTTGTTTTCTTTTGTCTTTTTGATAATATTCATTCTAACTGGAGTGAGGTGATATTTCACTGGTGTTTTGATTTGCATTTCCCTCATGATTAGTGATGTTGAACATTTGTTCATATTTTTGTATGTCTTCTTTTGAGAAATGTCTATTAAGGTTTTTTGACCATTTTAAATTGGGTTATTTGGCTTCCCCCCCCCTTGCTGTTGAGTTGTGTGAGTTCCTTCTATATTCTGGATATCAACCCCTTGTGGGACATACAGTTTGCAAATACTTTCTCCATTCTGTAGGTTATCTTTTCAGTCTGTTAATTATTTCCTTTACTGTGCAAAGACTTTTTAGTTTGATATAATCCAGTTTGTTTATTTTGCATTCATTCTCTATGCTTTTGAGGTGTTATTTAAAAAATCTATGCCCGGCCCAGTGTTGTAAAGTGCTTGCCTTATGTTTTCTTCCAGTAGTTTCATAGTTTTAGGTTTTATGTTTAAGTTCTTAATCTATTTTAAGTTGATTTTTGCATATGGTGAAAGATAGGTGTCATACTTCTGTATGTGAGTATTCAATTTTTCTAGCACCATTTGTTGAAGAGACTGTCTTTCCCCCAATGTGTGTTCTTGGCATCTTTGTTGAGAATCAGTTGGCTGTAGGTATGTGAATTTATTTCTGGGCTTTCTATTCTGTTCCATTGGTCTTTGTGTCTGCTTTTATGCCTGTACCATGCTATTTTGTTTACTATAGCTTTGTAGTATATTTTAAAGTCAGATGGTGTGCATATACCTCCAGCTTTGTTCTTTTTGCTCAGAATTGCTACTGTTGCTTGGGGTGTTTTGTGGTTCCATATGAATTTTAAGATTGTGTTTTCTATTTCTGTGAAGAGATAGGGTCTCACTTTGTTGCCCAGGCTGGCCTCGAACTCCTAGGCTCAACTGATTATTCCCCCTTAGCCTCCTGAGTAGCTGGGACTTTAGGCGCACCATTACACCTGGCTTGTCATTGGTATTTTGGTAAGGATTGCATTAAATCTATAGAACACTTGGGTAGTATGGCTGTTTTAACAAGATTAATTTTTCTAATTCATGAACATGGGATATCCTTCCATTTTTTAGTGTCCTCTTCAATTTCTTCAATCAATATTTTATTGTTTTCGGTATTTAATATTTAAATTAATAAGACAATTTCAGGAAGTGATAACTGCTATGAACATATCAAAACAGGATCATGATATAATGATATAGAGAATGAGGTGGGGGCCACTCGAAAAGGCTTCTTGGTGAAGGTAGTATTTCAAGTGAACCTACAGGATGTGAAGGGATCAGCGACAGGAAGATCTGGGAACAGAGAGAACAGCGAGTGCAAAGCAGTATGCAGGGATGGAGAGTAAGGCAGGGCCTGCATCCCCCACCTGAAAATGATGATGATGGGCTGGGCCAGGTGGGGTGGCTCACACGTGTAATCCTAGCGCTCTGGGAGGCCAACGCAGATGGACTGCTTCAGCTCAGGAGTTCACAACTAGCCTGAGCAAGGGCAAAACCCCATCACTACCTAAAATAGAAAACTCAGCCAGATATGGTGTCTCATGCCTGTGGTCCCAGCTAGTCAGGAGGCTGAGGCAGGAGGATTGCTTGAGTCCAGGAGTTTGAGGTTGCTGTGAGCTAGTCTGATGCTGCTGCATTCTACCTGGGGTGACAGAGGGAGACTCTGTCTCAGGAAAAAAAAAAAAGGAAGAAAAGAAAAATGATGATGAGGAGGATAGTAGGAAATAGTATTAAAAATTATGGTCAATGGAATAGTGTAGCCAGTGTTCTAAGTGCTTTACCTGAAATACATCATTTAATTCTCATGGTAATCTCTAAGATTGGGATTACCATGGTCCCCATTTAGAGCTGTGAAAACTGAGGCACAGAGAAGTAAGTAACCTGCCCAAGACCACACAATAGCAAGCAATGGAGCCACAATTCAAAATTGAGTCTATCTCCAGAGCCCATGTTTGCTTCCAGTGATATGTATTGCCCACCCCCCAGATTGTTCTGGTCAAGGCTACTTATCCTTCAAGCCTAGGCTCAAATGCTACCTCCTCCATGAAGCCCTCTCTCTTCCTTCCAAGCAGAAGTGCTTTCTTTGAACTTGCAATGGAACTTTACCTACTTTTCATATGGAGTTGATCACATTATGTCTTGTATTGTGGATGTTGTGTAGATGCCATCGTTGGTCAATGATTCATGTCTGCACTCTAAGTGTTTTAAGTGTCATGTTTATCTTTGTATCTCTCCCAAACCAAGAATGGAGAGGGCACTATTAATGTAACATGGTATCTGCCACATATTTATCTAAGACCTGGTACATGGTGTCTGGTTTCTTTCTGAGTCCTAGTGTGTGTTTTCTACCTTCTGAATGAGGCAAGTTTTCTTTTCTGTCTGCAGACATGAAGACATCTTATCCATCCTCACTGCTGTCAACCATGATGTGAGTCGAAAAGCGGACAAATCTGGATTGAAGAAACAGATGCCCCAGTCTGCCAGCACACTAACGAAAAAACTAGTATTCCCTGTGCCACCCGGAGCACTTCAGTGGTAGCAGAGAGTCTTCATCGTCTGTTAGACTTGAAAGGAACCTGTGGCTTTGTCCTGCGACCTCCCACCTAGCACAGGACTCAGTGGTGGGTGAGGAGCTGGTCTCCACCTGTGCTTCTAGTGGCGGGAAACACCCGATTTCCAGACACAGTCAATTCTGTGTTTTCTTTTTCTTTTGACAAGTCTAAATGTTAGATGACTTTCCTTTTTAAAGACTTGGATCGTGTCCTTGGTGCTGGGTGTGTACCCTGGAGAGAGAATACTTTGCCTTGGTTTACATATCTGTGAAGTGCGAAGTGGAACCACGATTATTTTAAGGTTCCTTTGAGTTCAGAGAACCCCCATTCTTAGCCTAGACTGAGCTTAGATTTCCTCTCTGCACAGCCCCCTGCCTTAGTTACAGATCTGTGTCCCTCTGCATGGCCTTGTACATGGGACAGTGAGGCCACATTCCACTCACCTGTCTCTGCTGTCCCCCTTCCTAAGGCTTCTCTTTTGTACGTGTAGGAAGTGAAAATTGGGTCTGTGCTCAGCCCATTGCCTGCTTTAGTGTAAGGAAGGTGCACACACGGGAGCTGTTTTTCTTGGGTTGGGTATGTACCCTGACGAGAGGATACTTCATCTTGGTTTACGTATCTGTGGCCTTTTCTTGGGTTTCTGGGGTTCAGGCTGTTCCTCATCAGATGGGGGCAGGTTCAGCTCTATGAAGATGGCGGCTCAGTGTGAAGAGAGACACACTCCGTTGTTCTGAAGTGGAGACTTTTTGTAACGTTGAATTCTGTGTTGGTCAGAACCTTTCTGGTCTCGGTGACAGGACACCGAACTCAAAGTCACTAAAGCAAAAAAGGGAATCTACTGCCTCTTTCACCTGGAAACCCACAAATGGGCAGCACAGGCTTCAGACAAGCTTGAATCAGGACTGCGTCCAGAGCAGCAGCTGTTTCTTGGCTGGATGTTTCCAGGACTTGCAGCTGCGGTGTGTGGACTGCAGTCAGCAGCCCACCTTGTCACTAATACGCTTTGCTCCTCTGGCCCAAGGGATAAGGACGGAGGCTGCCTCAGGGACCAAAGCTGTTCACAAGGATCACTGGGCTCTTTTTGGCCAGAGAAATGCCTGGCTGTGCCTTGGGGGAGTAGCTCTGTATGGAAGCATTGGGTTTGTTTGTTTGTTTGTTTGTTTGTTTGTTTGTTTGAGACAGGTCTTGCCCTGTCACCCAGGCTAGAGTGCAGGGGTGTCATCATAGCTCCCTGAACCTCAAACTCAGCCTCCCAAAGTTCTAGGATTACAGCATGAGCCACCTCACCCAGCCTTGATACTGTTTGTTTTTGTTTTTGAGACAGAGTCTCACTCTGTTGCCTGGGTTAGAGTGCCGTGGCATCAGCCTAGCTCTCAGCAACCTCACACTCCTGGGCTCAAGCAATCTTTCTGCCTCAGCCTCCCGAGTAGCTGGGACTACAGGCATGTGCCACCATGCCCGGCTAATTTTTATTTTTTTCTATATGTTTTTAGTTGGCCAATTAATTTCTTTCTATTTTTAGTAGAGACGGGGTCTCGCTTTGCTCAGGCTGATTTCGAACTCCTGACCTTGAGCAATCTGTCCGCCTCGGCCTCCCAGAGTGCTGGGATTACAGGCGTGAGCCACCGCGCCTGGCCTTGATACTTTTTAAATCAAGCATTTTGAACAATTTTATGTACTGGAGCTTTCTTTTTATTTCAAGAGGAACTTTTTCTTTTTAATCCTGAAGCCACATTTTGAATCCGTAGAGCTTAGACTTAGGTGGGTGGTTGGAAGTCCTGTGGGAAAGGGCTTCATTTACAGACGAGGAAGCTGAGGCCCAGGGAGGTACAGCAGCTTGCTCTCAGTCCTCCAGCCAGTCATCGCTTACGGGGTTTTATTTCCCACTTACGTGAACCGGAACGCCACGGGACATCACAGCACATCGTGAACCTTCCCTTGGATATGCAGGTGCTCATAAAAGATGTCAAGGAATGAAGAAAAATAACTCTCAGGGGTGCCTGACTTTATTTATGTGAGAGTCAAATCCATTTACAGTAAATTTGCCGTAAGAAGTATTCGTAAGAACCTGTTATGATATAGCTAGACACCACATGGGTTTGAATGCAGCTTGACTGAGGATGTAAGTCTAAGGCGTGTGTCAGGATGATCTTCCCACGCCATTGTGCATGCAAGCCAGGGTGGGCCCAGTCTTTGTCCAGTTGGGTACACAAGCCATTGAACAGTCTTCTGCTCAGGAAGGGTGACCAGGTGCACAGGAAGGAGCAAAGGGTCTGAGGGTTTGCAGCTTGGGTTTCCATTTCACCCCTCCACTCCCTTGCTCTGCGACACTACGTCAAGCTAGGTTTTTCAGCCTTATCTGTAGAGAAAATGTTAGCTGTTGAAAAGGTGAAGGAGAACATATATATGTATAGCCATTTAAATCTACTTGTGTGGAGGTGCATTGAAGGCCTTTAGGTGACAGGGTCTTGTGGCAATACCCTCACTGGAAATAACAGGGCTCGAGCTCCTTTGCACCTTATTCCGGCTGACTTTATTAGCAGCAACTCAGCACTGGCGGCACCCTCTCCCGTGCATCCTCTGAGGGAAGGGCTGAGTCTCCCCTCACTGGTTCATGGCATCCGCAGCAGCAGCAGGCGGCCAGCCCTTGGCTCTGAGTTCTGTTGGACAAAACACTGTATTTTTATTTATTTTGAGACAGAGTCTCACTCTGTTGCCCAGGCTAGCATGCCATGGCATCAGCCTAGCTCACAGCAACCTCAAACTCCTGGGCTCAAGCGATCCTCCTGCCTCAGCCTCCCAAGTAGCTGGGACCACAGGCATGCGCCACCATGCCCAGCTAATTATTTTATGTATTTTTGGTTGTCCAGCTAATTTCTTTCTATTTTTAGTAGAGACAGGGGTCTCACTTTTGCTCAGGCTGGTCTCGAACTCCTGACCTTGAGTGATCCTCCTGCCTCGGCCTCCCAGAGTGCTAGGATTATAAGCATGAGCCAGACAAAACACTGTTAATGAAATCTCTTCATCAGGAGCATGTGGAGTTTGATGTTTATGTTTTGGTCCTTTAGTCTGTTTCATGTTACTATTTTGCTTAACTTAGTGCTTGTGGAAGGTTAAACTTTAGAGTCAGAAACATTCTTTTTAGAGGCCTCCAGCAAGCTCGTAGTGCTTCCTGCACATCTGTGGTTGTGAGTCATGGATACATACAGACAGCAGGAGTGCAATCACTCTCCCTCATGTCTCCCAGGCAGGGCTGGGCCCACTGGTTTGCGTGTGCCGTATACAATGTGTAAAACATACTTGTCTGTATTTAAGTGTGTGTGTGTGTGTGTGTGTGTGTGTGTGTGTGTGTGTGTGTGTGTGTGAATTTTGAGTTCAGGAATCATAGGGGATTTGATCACAGCTATTTGGCAACAGCTACAGCCATTGTATGCCCAGACATTTATGAAGGAAAAGATTGAGTGAAGTTCCTATGTACTTTGCTAGTTTTGCTCAACACACAAAGGTGGAAGTTAATTTTTTTCTTTTTTCTTTTTTTTGAAAAGAAAAAAAAGGGCTAGAGTGCAGTAGTGTCTTTGTAGCTCACTACAACCTCAAACTCCTGGGCTCAAGCAATGCCTCAGCCTCCTAAGTAGCTGGAACTATGGGAGCACGTCACTGTGCACGGGTAATTTTTTCTATTTTTAGTAGAGATGGGGTCTTGCTCTTGCTCAGGCTGGATATGTGACAAATCATTTAACTTTTTTTCTGGTAGGGTCTGGGTTTTGCTGAAAATCTGCAGTTTGCTCTTAAAATGTCATAAGAATGTAGCAACACATTCATTCTCTTTGAATAGGATCTAAATTTTTTCTTTTTCTTTTTTTTAATGGAACCTTCTACAAAAATTTTAAAATTTTGTAGTAGCATCCTTTTAAAAAAAGTAGTAAGGGAATTTCCTTGTTTAAAGCAGGACTCATTTGGCATTGCAAACAACCATTTCGTAACATAAATTTTACAAGTCTGAATTTTTAAAAGATTTTTCTATTAAAAATTTTAAAGTGTATTTAATTTTGGGTAGATAGTATCTTTACAAGATAAGAAAATACTCAAAGGTATTCAAGAAAAGCCCTGCCCCCAATTCTGTCCACCATTTCCCTAGTCCTCCCACCTCTTTATCTCTTAGATAACTCCAAGGTTTCTTAATGCAAATGCAACAAAAACAAATATATTTATAAAAGAGCCATCAGGAAGGTATCCAGCCATGTAACACTATGAAACTTATATCTCTTATTTAGTCTCATTTTAAATGACTCTGTACGATGTTTCAGAAATCCTGCTACAATTCTAGAATAGAAATAACTTTCTGTATGAGCTTTGTGAACTGGACTCTTGTAAATATTAGAAATTTGCTTACTAATAAAAAAGTTTTTTTTTTCAATTTTTACCTTTGTGTCATATCCTTGATTCTATTTTATAACCCGTTTTCTGACTACGTAGTCATGTGTGCTCCTTGTGGAACATTTGGGAAGTACAAGAACACACAAGGAAGAGAACGTTCATTCCTAACTCCATTCTGGTATGTATTTACCCATCATTTTGCTTTGCACCTGTCCCTGAGCTCCCCCATGCCCTTCCTGTGAGCTAATCTTACTCCATGTTCCCCAGTCGTGCACCCAGTATGCTTTGTCATTACTAATATCTGGACTGCCGCCCAAACTCAGTGTCACGCCTGCCCATCCTTGACAACCACCTCCGATCCTTCCCTTCTCCCAGGATGCTCCCTGCAGCCCCTCTGGTGCCAGTGCCCCCGGACCTCCAGTTAGTTGATTGCCCCCATCTGCCCTCGTTCCAGCCTCAACCCTGCCCTCACTCCAGCCTCAACCCTGCCCTCACTCCAGCCTCAACCCTGCCCTCACTCCGTCTTCACCAGGCTTAGAGATCAGTCAGTTCACTCTCCAGTACTGGCTTCAATCCTCTCCCTCAGTCCTACTCAGGTGGCAGAATCCCAACTCCCGTTAATCCCACGTGTCCACCCACTCTAAGTTTGCACTGGAATTCCTGGACATGGCCAGTGGGAAAACTTACACCACGTTGCAGAATACATTACAGCCGACGGCCACAAACCTCCAACAGGCTCAGTGGTTTCGGCGCTGCTGTGACGTTTCCCTCGTTAGGTCACCCTTCCGCACTCTCACACTGTTTCACACCTTCTTTTGTCTCCTCAGGCCTCTGTTGCTGGCCACGCTCCTCACTTACCTTCGATGGTCTCGCTCACCTCACTAAGGGAAGCAGTCAGACCACATCTCCCGTGGGTGCCTGCGCCATTCGAATAAGCCGGCCCTCCTCTTCTGCAGGTGTTAGGGACCGGCTTCCTGCACCCCGCCAGGCAGACAAACAAAGACACCAAGGATGCAATCACTCAAGAGGAGCTTTATTTTCTGGCTAGCCAGGGTCCAGGCCCTAGAGTGCCAGCGCAGTGGTCGCTCTTACAGGCAAGGACCCTGATCAAAGCTGGGGCTGCCCTTTTATCCCCCCTCCCTCTTGAACATCCGGTGCTGCACAAGCTGATTGTGCCTGTTAGTCTTTAAAATGATTGGTGGACTGGTAGCCCGGCGGCGGCAAAGGGGCCTTTCTCCCTTATCTGGCACCGTACCTATGCGTCTAGCTGCAAGCAAGCGATTCTCAGAAGCAGAAATATGCGTTTAGCCGATAGCTCTACCTTTGGGCCCCAAGCTAGCAGTTTCCAGAAGCCGATTACTCCTCCCCTGGGCCAATTTTCTGTTATCCGGGCTCGCACAAGTGAGCCAGCAGCTTTGGGCTGCAACCAGGCCCTTACACAGGGGCCGTTGGTGCCGCTGACTCAAGGACGTCACTCCTGACGCCCCCTTCCCTCTCCGGCTTTACAGCATTTCTCTTCCTCCCAGACTGTAACAGAGACAATGGCCTGGAAAAAAAATGGCAAAAATATTTTCTGTCTGTGTAACATTTCACACAATGTTAAAACCACGATGTTTGCTACATGTTGCTTATGAGTTCCCATGCACATTGTGTCGATGCAGAGATCCACCGTGGTGATAAACGAGGAGTTTACAGTAGTGGTTGCCTGGGATGGAGTCGGGCTTTGGGGACAGAGGGACGCAAAGCGGAGGAAGTACAGGGGCTTCAGATGCGTCGATCACGTCTTATTTCCTCACCCGAGTGCTGGATGTGTGGGTGTTCTCTTTCTTCTTAAA